CATCCGCCGGGGTGGGTTTGGCGATGGCGGAGCGGTCGGTTGCTGTATTGTATCGGCAGTATCGTCTTCGGTGAGCAGGATGGTTCGGTGTTTCTGTCAAAACATTAGTATACACGGACCACTTGAAGAAGACTAGTACTTACTTCATGCCACTTCTGCAGCCAGGTCTGTGTGTCATCACGGACGACAAGCGGTAAGCTCTCCAGACAGTCTGCCCATCCAACCTCCTCGAACGCACCCAGGTCGAGCCTCTGCAGTAATGCGATCTTTTCGTATTGCGATGGTAAAATGTGTTGCTCTAGTTGACTAGCAAAATGGTCGGTAAGCAAACGAGCAAGTCGATGAACTGGACTGTCTTCCACAGCCTCAGCAAACATCACCCGCACTCGTTCAAGAACGTCTTCATTCAAGCATCGGTACTCAACAGCCAATGATAGACTGCCGGTAGTGGAAATCCGACTTTGTCGCTTCTTGGCAGCGTCCATCGTCTTCTTAGTGACTTTATACGTGACTGCGACAGGCTGTTTGGGGAACACATGGACAGCCTCTTTCGGACGCCTTGGCGCATGGACGTCGAACTCTTCTGATCCTTCTAATGCGACATCTAGAAGCTTCAGTGGCACATGATTGGCGGTCTTGATGTTGAACTTCGAGAACAGTGATTTGCTCTTGAAGTGGTCGTGAACGTTGACGTCTAGAGGCAGTTCAACAGGAATAACGAAGGTCGAGGTATACTGGAACTGTCCCTTGGCGGTGAAATAGTCGACATCGATCTTGACAGTAAGGTCTTGCAATATTGTCTCCATATCGTAAGGCACCTTCAACGTCGCTGTAGTTTCGGCTGCCATTGCACCAATTGCGATGACTCCCGGCGTTGGCTTACTCTCATCGATCTTGATCTCTCCGGAAGCCACACTTGCATTTGCGGTTCGCAGTCGTAAACCTGCAGAGGCAGACTTCAGGCGGACTTCTGCGCGTGTGATCTCGTTCCAGCCAGTTGAGCACTCGACCTCTATGTGCCGCGGCTTGTCAATATGGATGAAGTGCGAGAGATAGATTCGGGCTTGGAAGGATTCGCTACGGGGGAAGCACAGTATCCGAGCTTTCTTCGCAGCTTTGAGAGAATGCGCAGAGACCGAAGTGATGATGCCAAGTGGAGTTGTCGCCTCTGCCTTCTGGAAAGGTTCGTGTACGAAGACGATACGCTTTGCTTCGAGAACAACCCTGTCAACCATGTACGGTCCAATCGTATTCACGTTGCAGCCGATCCACATGCGATTCAAGCCCTTCTTCAACTGTATGGCTCCTGTCTCTTCGAGCCATATGTCCTTGGCTTGATTCGAGACTGCGCTGACCAGTCGGATTTTGGCTGCGCGTATTTCAATCTCGTCTTCGAGATGGTGTCTGAATTGAAGGCGTAACTGGAACCCATCTTTATCATCGTAGTGTCGAACGTACGGCTCTACCGAGATGTCGCCAAAGTACTTCGGCATCTGGACTGTGACATCATAGGGTAGCTGTTGCGAATAGCTGATGAGTTCATGGAATACGTCAGTAGTGTCCACTTTGTCGTCGTTCAGCCAGACACCGGGCATGTCCCCTGCGTCGGTTGTACTGGCTCGTTTTGAGGCACTCTTGAACGCCATTCGGCTCGCCGCAGACTTGGCTAAGAGATCAAGTACCGTCCGCACATATTCATCTTTTCGGTTGAGTTTCTTGAGGCAGCGTGCGTGCATCTTGAGCATGGTTGTCTCGACCGTGTTCCATCTGCTCTCCGCAAAGTACGATGCCATACGTCCAAAGTACATGGCGGCTGCCGCGAAGTCACCGAGTTCACTATAGTGATATCAGTATTAGGCCTGATGTAATCTGAGAAGTGGCAAACATACAACCTGAGGGCAGCCAGATCCCCGAGCACGCTTTCTGCTGACTTGGTCTGGCCTGCGGCCATATAGTGCTTGACGATAAGATCACTCAAACCCTGTAAAAGTTAGCAAATTCATGTGGGGTTATATCATGTCTTCTGACCTCATAGAATTGTCGGAACTGCTTGATGGATGTCATCGCAGTGACCAGCGCTGCGGCAGATATACCGAGACGTGACTTCGAAGCTTCCCCTTCCGTTTCGGTACGAGACTGGTTCTGCTTTGATTCATCCTCTTCCTCTTCCTCGTCTTCTAGATCAACCTCAGTGAGTTCTTCTTTAGCACTCAGCGATGCCAATATAGCATTCCAGCCAATATTCCAGCCCATGCTCTTGCCTGCATGTTCGAGCAAACGTCGCTGAATTGCGAGAAGCTGCGCTCTCGTACCAGCCAGCTCCTGCAGGCCGTTCTTAGCAGAAGGGATCGTGCTCTGTTGGCCAGGTAGTGGTCGATCGTGATACTGGCCGTTCTCGAATACGACTTGGGCATTGGCTGCGGGTTGTGAGTATGGCATGTCTGATACTGGTCGCCCATGGTTCAGAGATGTCGATCTGGATGGATGGATCATGGACTTCTGTTCTGAGACCTTCATCTTTTGTTCTTTGTTGCGGCCACCAAACGAAAGGCTCTTGCCGGAAGAGCCTGCCGATAGGTTTCCAGAGGACTTCGTAAATGGAAGAGATCCTGTAGATGTTTCACGCAAGACCTGTTCCAGCGCAGCGAAAGTCCACGAACGAACGATGTTCTCGACGAGATGATCAGGGAATGTGGTATCGTGAGCTTTCGCCCTACAGCGATGGATTAGTGCTGTGGCTTGACTGGGTGTAGATGGACTTACCCGTGAATTAGATCATCTCGCAAGAGCCGCCCAGCAAATGTGATGAAGTTCAGTGCACGCGAGCAGAGTTCAGCGAGAGAGAACAGATCCTCTGAGTCGTTCCCTTGGCCGCCCGACTTCATACCGATAGCGCTGTCATCAGCCGAGCGCTGTATCACGCCGGCATTCGGTCGAGGTTGTAGCTTGGCTGCGAGGTCGGAACGTGCTGAGACTGAGTTTCCAAGCCTCAAGAGCAAGAACATCTGGCGAGCGAAGATGTAGAGCCTGAAGTCGAAGATCGAAATGTTGTTTGCAAGGATGAGACCGCGATAGTCTTTCTTCAAAGCGTTGATCGGCCTATCATCGTGTATGGATGGACCCGATCCATCATTACCATCCTGCTGTGCAATCTCTGCTGCTGTCTGATATATGTCGTCCGAATAGCTGAGCAAAACGCTTCCTTGCGCGTCTTCGCTCGACTGGTCACGTATGACGCTATCAAGACCGATGGAAAGCTCATCATAGCCAAGCAGCGCATCTTCGACCAGACCTACGCTTTCGAAGCCTCTTGCCAACCCTTCCTTCAAGATGAAGAATGTGTTGAAGTTCCAACCAGGAAACGAGCGCTGAGCGTCATTCTTGCGAATGTCTTCTTCATACTGGCTCACCCGGAGGTCAAACGAAAGAAGGATCAATACCTTGAACTTAGCGATGACATCAGCCCAAGCACGCTCTTGTTCCTGGATGCTCTCAGTAATAGCAGGGGTGGCGGCAGGTGCAGCAGCTGGAAGTATGTGCTGCGGAACTTTCTCTTTTGGCACTCGTATTTGAGCTACCCGGTCAGGTGCCGATTTTGATGAGACGTTGAAGTCGGCGCGAAGCTTTTCAAGCAAGGTCGTCGTCCCGCGCGTCCATCTAGATGCTGCTCCGGACTTCTCCTTCTCACCGGTTGTGGTATTAGAGGATCCACGAGGCTGGCTTGCTGCCGGCGTCTCGGGCACTACGACATGTAGAATCAACCATTCGTACGCATCATGATTTTCCTGGGTGTTCGCTGTACTGCTTTGAGAAGGTGGGGTGTGTTCCTTCACCCACTCGCGAACTTGCTTGCGCGCAGTCGCCTTGTAAGTCTCTGAATCGTCACATCTCAACAGATAGACCTTCAGATAAGGTGTTTGGCGCAATCCTGGGATCTGATGTCGTCTCTCTTTCTCTTTGTTAACCGGCCTGAAGATCTCATCCGTGTTCCTATTGGGCGTACCTTGGCCAGGTGCTGAAGTCGACGAAGCCGCACTTGCAGCCTGTGCTGATTCTTTACTGGGCACGAGATCAACATGTAAGGAGTCGATAGATCTTAGTGGCCGTGTAGGAGCCTTCCAGTGCAAGTTACGAAGGGGCAATCGCGCAGCCAAGTCTTCCTGTATCAATGGAAAGACTCCAGAAGGGTCATGGTACTCGACTGTGAAGTATGAGTATAGGGGTGTTGAAGTTGCAGGGGTGCATACCCGTCACTTTAGAGCTCGATAGCCCATCCATCACCGTAGGTTCAGCTGGGGTTTGCCTAGGACCATCCTCTGTGGCACCCAGGGCTGGCGCACCATTTCCAGCCACACTCATGAAACGTGCACGATGGGATTATCGGTATAATGGCGAATTATGTGATAGACGTCGTTTGCTTGAGTGCGCGGGTAATGATGCCGTCGCGAGATGTACGTTGCGCATTCGGCGGCTTCACCGCTAGCCTGGACTAATCCGAATCCGGTAAAGACTCGTCAAAGGCCTCCGCCACATCACGTGTGAGCGTCTTTCCACCTGGGCATCAACCAGTCACTGCGCAAGTCTCCCACCATCTGCTCATCACCGGTCAACAGCCGTACGATCTCGCTTCACCTTGTACCGATGAGTAAATGCGCCTATTCAGCCCTGTGCTATGCCTTGCGAAGTCATGGCAATGCCTCAGCTGAGCGTCGCATTCATCGCATTGGCCTTTCCATGAGGGGCCTGGAGTTTGCGCCATTTGGACGTGTTGTCGTGCGCTTTATCTCATAAATCCCCTGTTGCGGCCCATGTGTCGAAGGATAAGCATGCTAGCGATTCTATCTGGACGTATTTGAAGCCTGAACACATATTGTCCTTCTCACTCACTGTGCAGCAACGGCTCCTTGCCTCTCTGGCTTTCGGACAGCTTGTCTCGTCAATTACACGAATTAAGTCATCAATCTGTTTATCTCCGCGACATCGTACTCATCTTTGTCAAGATGGGAATGGGAGACTACTCACCTGGCAGCATCTGGTACTATGCACCAAACAAAGCCGCGCCCATAGTCTTCATCATCCTCTTCTCCATCTCCGGTGCGCTACATGCGTGGCAGACAATGTAAACACCTCGATAGTCGCAGTTGCGCACTACTAATACCTCTCAGCAAGCACAAATCATGGCGAACAACAGTCCTTCTGCCGTGGGCCGCTCTTCTGATGATCAGCGGCTTTGCAGTGCGTCTCGCAGGCGCATACGACACTGACAATCTAGCATACCTCATAGCTTCGACCGTCCTCATCATGTCTGGGCCGCCGGTATACGCGCTCATCAACTACTTCATACTGTCAAGGTTACTCTACTACATACCCTACCTGGCCCCTCTTCACCCAGGGCGGGTAGCAACGACCTTCATAGGCCTCGATGGCGTATGCGAGGTCCTCATCGGACAAGGTGCATGGCGCATGGCCAACTCCAGCTCCACCGATGCAGAACGGCAACTCGGCTCTGATCTCGTCACCGCATCGCTTTGTCTCCAGGCAACACTCTTTGGCGCATTTGGCCTCCTCGCTGCACAGTTTCATCGACGTGCCAACAAAGCCGGAGTACTCAAGCAGGACCTACGCGTCGTACTGTATGTCATGTATGTGAGTGCGGGTATCGTTACCATACGCTGCATCTACCGCCTCGTGGAATACATCCTTGGCTGGGAGTCCTCCATATATCAGAACGAAATCTACTTCTGGATCTTCGAAGCTGTCATTATGTTTCTCAACACCGCTTTGCTCAACCTGTGGCATCCGGGTAAACGTCTACCTCACTCCAACTCCGTGTTCCTAGCTCGCGATGGCGTGACTGAACGGAAAGGACCAGGCTGGGGTGATGACAGGCCGTGGATAATTACCATCTTTGACCCTTTTGATATTTGGGGCCTGGTCAAAGGGAGGGACAAGAAGACGCAGTTCTGGGATATGAGCGATGCAGAGTTGGATGCGGCTAGAGCAGAGAAGAAGAGGAATAAGCGAGGAGTACTCAAAGGCTTGGTCGACCCTTTCTATCTTTGGGGCCAAAGGGGATACATTGGCAGGTATCTTAAGAAAGACAAGAGAGGCAGCGCAGACGACCATGAGGGTGTGATATAGGTTCGACACGCCAAGCAACATGAGTACAGTGGTAAAGGTACGAATGATGCAGTCTGAGGACGGGCGCGGATGATGGTCAGATCTATGGAATCTTCTCCTTACCCATCTATTGTTCTTACTGTTATGATTGTCCATCCCGTTCTTTCATCTTACATACTCCCCAAACGCTTTCGTAGTCTCCAGAACATGCTCATGCTGAGGCAAACATCCAAGAGTTTTTATCAAACAATCAATCATACTACTATAATTTACTCTCTTCCGGACCCTCCATGGCATGAAAAATATCACACAGACATCACAGTCAAGGAACCATGCCTAACAAGTTATTCTACGGGCTACTCATTTTCTCAATACTAGTCTTGCTCGCCCCTATCATCTACGTAATCCATAGTTCTCGACCCGGCATGTTCTCAGGGTTATGGAACACCCTACGCAAAGCAGTAGTACGGCTTTACACTTACGTTCAACAGCTGTGGACCCAACGAACTTCACAAGGACAGCAAAACAACAACGTTGCAATTACGTCTCATACACAACCCGCTGACGGCGCGACACAGCTTCTTCCAGCGGCGAATTCATCACAACAGACCTCCAACGCTGGACCCTCCGCAACGAACCAGACGCTCTCGAGAGATGGCATCGAGCTGCAGAGGCGTTCGGATACTGACTAAATATCAGAGCCGTTGCCTTTCGAACCTCCAATTCGAAATGCGCGGGTACATCATCCACATCCACTAGATCAAATTTCGGAAGCGGAAGACTCGTCTGAGAGAACAGGTACGTAGTCGACCAACCATCTTGACATTGAAGAGTGGCGAGATTTCTAACCCAAGCAGTGAGATGATGCGAATGAGTAGACGGAGGAAGAGCGTCAAAGTGACGACCTCTTCGGGGTGTAGTCTCGGCAAGAGTTGAAGCCGAAGGGAACGCGTATGGAGCTTACAGCATGAAGGCGGTTGTACGTAGACATCTTCGACTATTGGTGGAAATACCGAATAGCGGCATTATGAGTCGAAAGTGTTCATGCATGTGATGATGCGCGACTTGCGACTTGGTGATTGCAGGCGTTGAAGCTATTACGCGGCAGGCGCTACGCGTCCTGTCAGGCCCCGGGTGTCGTCACCATCTAGTCAAACGCGACATCGGTTTTCACCGTCACTAACCAGAAGCGATTTTGTGAGAGATGCAATAGACGTTAAAAATTCATGATAATGCTATGCTTCTATGTAAGCAACAGACCTACTTCCAGGTAGGTTGGTGAATATGCAAAACCCTTAACCGAGAGGTTGTAATCCATGCCACTCTTGATAACGCCAACGATGCACGTATGCATTGTAAAAAAAGTCATTACGCTGGACAGGTATTAGGAAAATTGTAGTCCGCACATCAGAAGCCGTTGAAGCCCATGAGGATGCCCGCACCAGCGACCGCAGCGCCGCCAACCCATCGGTTTGCAGTTGCGGCCGGCATGGCAGCGCCGGTAGAGGTCAGGATTCCACCGCCACCGGTTATGTTGGGTCCATCGATTCTGGGTCCGCCAGTGCCGACAGCTGCAGTAGACACTGCGTTGGGAACACCTGTAGCGTTGGGTACGCCGTCAGAGCCTTCTTTAATCTCCTGGACGTTTTCTGAGGTGGCGTTGAAATTTGTCTGCGCAAGGGAAATTTCGTTGTTCTCAAGGTCGTAGACAACGTATGCGGATCGTAGGAAAGTATCGCCGAGAACGGCGACAGAGGAGCCCGCGGGCCCAATGCCAAGTATGCAGACGGGCTGTCCACGACTAACGGCAGCAACTATGACAAGCTCGTTGAGTGGGACAGAGATCGTGACGCCGGAGAAGTTGAATTCAAGCGAGCCTTCCTGATTCGCAAGGTCGCAGTCGACAGTGGCTGCGCCCTGCGAAGGACGGTACTGGGCGCCGAAGGTCTGGTACAGAGCGCTCGCGACATTATCGGGAAGATACATCAAGGAGGACCCTGAGTCAAGCAGGACCGGTACGTTGGAATCGTTGAAGATAGAACCGTTCTCGCCGTTCTGTCCCATACCGGTTAGAGCGATGATGAATTCGGCATATTGTCCACGCTCTGGGATAATTGGTAGTGTCTGTAGTTCACCCGAGTACTTGTCGGTGTCTACGCCTCCAAAGAGAATGCTTCCGGTCGACGCATCCAGGTCGTTCAGCCATAGCGAGTATGCGTTTGAGTTGATAGTACCGTCGTCCTTTAGCTTTTGAGGCAAGTTGGGGTATGGTTCTAATCCGGCGCGTCCTACGGCAACTTCGTTGATGGTGTAGCCAATTCCGAGGATACCCTCCGGTGAGCTCGATACGTAGCCGATACCGAACTGCAGGTCTTCTACTGTCTGGCCGCCGAGGCGGAAGTTGTCTGTTGCGTAGTCTCCCGATGCGCCTGACCCATCCACGTATGAAATGTTGAATGCGCCGTTGACGTAGTTATAAGTCGAAGAGTCGTTCGCGTTGTATGTGCCCGATTCGCCGCACTGGTTGCCCCCTTGGCTACACAGATTCGAGTTCACTGAGTTGACCCAGAGATCGCTGCTGCCGGTATCGATGTGGAGGCGGAAGTTCTGTTCGGGGGTGCCTAAGCTGGCGTTGGCGAAGTAGAGTGTCTCGAGGTTGTCAAGCGTCTGCTGGACAACGTTTTGCCGTCTCCGTAGCTGGTCGTGTGCGACGGGGTTGACATTTCGGCGCTGGGTATCCAGGCGCACTACTCTTGGGTTCTGAAAAAGTCAGCATCACATTCGACAAAGCTCTGGTGATGCGCACGAGGCGCTGCGGGAGGATTCGCTTCGCAGTGAATCTGGGGTGCCAAGAGTCGCACTTACCTCTCGCGGTGCAAGCCTCACTGCTACAGCCGACGACGCCAATTGCGCCGCCAAGAACGTCGAGTACTTCATGATGTGGTTTCTGAGAAGAGGATCCTAGGGATGTGCGATCGATGTATACCACGGAAGTGAAAGGATCCCTGGTGTGGCTTGGTAAAACCTGACGCACGAGTGGTCGGAGTTGGGTGAGGGCGGCAATGGCCTTGTGTTTGAGATTGCAATTGAAGTCGCAAAAAGCGGAGCGCTGTCCAAGCACAGTGCGAGTAGAGGATGACAAGGGAATAATAGCGACAAAGCAGAAACAAACGAGCTGTGACTAGGAATACAGTCGATGCGAAGTAGAGGCGCAGGCGCGAGGCTTTAGTCGGCGCAGGGGGCGTTCGAGCCTTGTGATGACGACGCGTATGATGAGGTCAAGTCTGGACCTGTAACGGATTCTGTGGCCCTTTAGTGCACCTGCCCACGTAACAAGCATGGGCAGCCGCCGCCATTTCCGGGCCTAAAATCGCCAGCCAACGGGGCTTGTGTGTGCCTTGCTGGGGGATCCGCAGGGCGTGGCGTTGCCTCGATTACGAGACGATTCGTTTGTATCGCAGAGCCAAGCGCTTGGTGCCGATGCTGGCATCCCTTGCCGCCGTACGCCGCCTGCGCTAGAGAGTAGCTTAGCTGTCCTTAGGGTTAATCTTAGTTAACACTTACTTAGATAGTTAGATTAATTATAAGCTTAGCTATTCTTAGATAGTTATAGCTTAGCGCTAGTACTTTAGTAGCTACTTTATATTTTATTCTTAACTTTATTCTTAACTTTATTTTTAACTTTAGCTAAACTAAAATTTAACTATAATTATTACTATAAATATTTATTTACTAAACGCGCTATAAGTAATAATAAGCTAAGTTCTAACTAAGTATAAACTTATAGTAAACTAAGATAATTTTATTAGTAAACTAATAATTCTATAGCTTATAAACTAGTTCTAAAAAAAGTAAAGTCTATTACTAGCATACTAAAGAACGTATAACTAAAAGTTTTAGTACTCTAGAAGTAGATAAGCTAAGGCTTAAAGCCTTAGCGCTACTACCTTTAAAGTAGTTAAAGCTTCTAAATCTTTTAGGCTAGCTAAAGAGCTATTTTAATACTAAAGTACTTTATAAAAGAATTATAATATAATTATATACGCTTATTAGCTTATAACTAATAAAGTAATATATTTTAAAAGTTTATAGTTAGAATACGTATACTAAAATCTATCTTAGTAAAAGTGCGCTTCTTCTATTCTATAAGTTACTACTCTTAGAAATCTAAAGATACGTTACTACGCTAGCACGTTAAATAATTTATAAGTCTTCTTAGTAATTATAAGAATAAAACTAATCTCTTACTAGTTACGTTACTTTACTTACTAGAGCCTTACTAAGTTACTTTATTATTATTTAATTACTTTTCTTTAAATTACGTTACTATTACTATCTATTTTTATAGATTCTCTTAAGATTATTATAAGAGATAGCGTTATAGTAAATTTTATAACCTTTTTTATTATTTTTATAACTACTACTATTATACGCGCTATTAAGGTCTACTTTACTAATAATATAGTGTCTACTAGAACTATTAATAGTTATTATTTTATAAGCGTTTTATAAAAGTATATAAAATAAGTAAGTTCTACTATTATTTTTTACTAGAACTTTACTTTTAATAATCTTATTAATAAGATATAGCGCTTCTTTTATAACCTAGATCTAAATATTATAAATTATCTAGTAGCTAAGACTCTATATATTACTAAAATTCTAAAGAATTTTATTAATACGCTAATAATTAAGTACTCTCTACTAAGTATAGACGCTATTTATATATATCTTACTATATATATAATTAGAATAGAGTTAGAGCTATACCTTAGCTACGTAATATAGAGTTATATTTACTTATAATAGTATACTTTAAAAAAGATTCTTAAGAAAAGTAATAAAAGATAGAATAACAAAGATAAGGCGTTTATAGATTATCTTTAGTAGGTAGATATTATTACGTAGATAGTAGTAGTGTTAGAGTTCTACTAAAGCTATTAAGAGTATAACTATAAGAGAATTATTATTATATTATAGTTATTAAAGAATAGAAATAGCGTTATAGTTGTAGTTAATAG